TTTTTTTAAAAAAAAAAAAAAAAAAAAAAAAAAAAAACATTTTTTCAACTCTTAAATTTTCACTAATATCTTTCAAATTTATACTATTAATATCCTTAAAAAAATTTAAAAAGTTTTAATCTTATTTATTCAAAGTTAATATTAATTTCTTTGCCTTATTAATTATCAATTTGAGCGTACACTTAATGTCTAAGATTTTTTGAAATCTATTATAAAGTTAAAGAAACTCTCTTCCCGATTAAAAACAACTAAAACTATTACACGGTTTATTTAAAAGTTAGTCGTTTTGATCTTATTTGTATTTTGACCGTCACAATCGCACTTTGATGGCAGCAAACTTGCGATTGTATAACACTCACTTCCCAGCAACAAATGAGTTAAGCTTATTCGTTCTTGCATAGCCTATGACCAAGCCAGGTAGGCTTGAGCCTCTGACCCCGGTTCAAGAAGAAAGTGTTAGAAAACTGGGGCAAAGAGATTTCAAAAGAGAGTTTCAAAAGCAAGATTTGAGAAATTGAAATTGGTGTTATATGGAAATATAAGCAAAAAAATCAACAACAACGGCTTACTGTATATAACTATCGGGTAGGAATAAGTTGACATCTTCGGTCTCATAAAACAAGACTTCTTTTGCACAAGGAAACGGAGGCAGACTTAGCTACAATCTAACTAAAAAATGATTCCCTACGAACGAAGACTAGACAATGGCCTTTATCGAGTAATAAAAAATGCAGAAGAAAGGGCTCGGGGGCACCCGACGAAGCAGAGCCATACCGAGGCCATCTTCCAGATAATTCTTCATATTTAAGGTTAGTGCAATACCTTAGGGCTGTGGACTTGTAAATCAGGCCATATATATACAAACTCTTGATGCCATCCTACCTTACCTTACCTTACCTTACCTTGTACACTTCAAAATTAGTAGCAGCAGGTTTAACCAACTAACCTCAATAATAATCTCAACTATATCCCTACTTCTTTCCCTTCTTCTTTTTCTTGTTCCCACTCCCACTATTATTGCTACTACTTTTGTTAAAACTTCCTCCCGCTTTAGCAGGTGAGCTCTCCGTGGCGCTGCTGCCACCGACGTTGTCGAACGCACCTGTCTGCACGGCATTCTGAAACCACTCGAAGAATTCTTCTTCTGTCATGTTCTCTTCTATGTTTGATGCAGGCATTTGGCCTCCTCTTTGGCTGGAACTTGATCCTCTGGTGTTTTGCTTTGAGGTTACGCTCGTGTTTACGTGAAAACTCGGCCTGTGGGTGTTGGCTGGACATCTCATTCCCTGCACAAATATACAAATCCGTTGCGGGATCGAGAAGAGCAGCATGACATCAATATTACATGAGGTGTTAAATTTGAAAGCGACTGTTTTATCGACGTTACCTGACAAATATACCATCCAGTAGCATCGTATATTCGGCTATCTGCACATACGTAGGCAGAAGGAGCATCTACCTGAACAGAGAACATAGTGTGTTTATGTGAGACTCCCAGTGATGCACAAACATATTCATGAAAAGGTATAAAAAAAAAACATAGCTCTTTTTCTGTGTTATTGTACTGTGTTCGGTTCCTTTTCAACTAAATCGTCCACAAAAGGGAAGGAGCCACAAATTTCCACAAAATGATAGCTTGTTTAGACATCCTTTCAGCCCCGAAAGGACCTCGAAGACGCACGTAGGCAGAAAAACGTTCAAACTGAAAGTATTGAAAGATGTTGCAACCTTTGACAGCAAAAGGGCAATGGAAGAAAGATGTGGTTCACATTCTCTTTACTATTCAGGCAGAGGAAACAAACAGAGGGGATAAAGACCAACTTTTACACTTTGTTCGAAACCGCTCGTGCGTGTTTATGGCTGCTAACGACGAGGATGACAAAATAAAATAAAAGAAAATATAACTTGTCTTTCTTTGGGTATTTAAATGACAGATTCCATCAATAAGCGGAGACCTAAGTTTTAGGACGGTTTCGATCACTTCAAAAAAGAAAATATATTGGAGAAGCTGTTGTTTGAATCCAGAGACCACCATGCACTATCATCTCCAACTCTCAGCTGCAACACATCAATGGAGTTAATAAGGCCAATCCAGTTTTCTAACTCCAAACCGAAAAGGCCTCTTCTGAGGCCAAGGTCCCGATTTCTAGCTACCACGTTCTAACAATCGGAAGTAGTGACATCATGCTTCATCGAGAGAGAGAAAGAGAGAACAAAATATCTGACAATCTCTCCTTTAAAGTGAAGTTCCCAACCCATCTATCCTTCAAAAAACGGATGAAATTTGCTTTCTTGGCCAAGAAAGTCAAAAACCAGAAGGAATAATTGCTAGCAATATTCTAACAATGACAATGGTCTTGATAATCTTCCACCCATTGGCTTTTCACCGTAAGTACTAAAGATAACTCTACGCCAAAGAGCACTCTTTGCTTGAGTAAATCTGCACAACTACTTGAGTAACAAGGCATTTTTCCTCTGTTGAAAAGCACCATTACTGAGCCCTCCATAACACGAAGGGAGGAAAGTTTCCCGTCAATTCACCGAGTATAAGACTGAGAAGGTTCCTGTAAGCCAACTCATCAAGGTCAAGGGGCACTAATGGAAGAGTCCAATGCCTCGATTTTATATATATATCCAGAACAGAAAAACATTGCATTGGAGACGGATGATTGACAGGACCGAAGCAAAAAGCCCACATACATGTACCAAGGTTTGTCAAAGATAGTGCCTTAAGCAAGTACTCAAGGTATATACACTGCTCTAAGATTAGGTAGGAGTCGATTTCAGAAACATAACAGTTTAGAGACTAACCTAGCTGCAACAGATATTGTTCAGGTCTTACTCGAGAAAATAAAGAAATTTCCAACCAATCTATGAATCTCAATAGTAACTTCCTTTCATGGTTTGAGGATGGAAAAGAAGAACGAGGGAGACTACAAATAACTGATTGAGCGAGGGTAAGGTGACCTCTCTTACAAATAGCAGATTGAGTGTCGGATCCCGACTTCTTCCTAAAGTCCCCCCACCCACCCCCGAAGGGATGCTCAAACAAGAGACCTCAGCAGCTCAATATCAACATCAATGTCGATGATAGCAGTATTGAATAAACAAATTAAACGAATCTCCTATAATAAAAGGTCGCGACTGCACAGGCGAAAGAAAGGTCGTGGGGTGGCAACAACAGCACAATAACAACAAGAGAGTAGGAAACTAATGCAAACTCCTCGGATGCAGGCTGCAGTGGCACAAGAAGAAGAATGATAAGGGGGGAGGTGGTGGCCTGGAGCACGTGATATCGAGTGGAAGAAAGAGTTCAGGCTTTCCTTTCATCTATTATTTGTGTTGATTGACAGGTGAATATCTATACGAATACCTAACAGTTTAGTGTTAAGACATAACATACATCCTTCAACAAAAAACCATATTTCAGACGATTTTTCTACGGAAACTATATTCAGAGACCACAATAGGTACAATGTAGTACCGATAGGCCGAACCCTACATAAGAATATAACTATTAGCACTAGAAACGTAAGTTATTGCACGATGTGTCTTGGAGAGTTCAAAGCTCTCAAAAGTCAATTATACTATATCTTTCCTGAATTTCTCAGTAAAGCATACTACGTAGTTTGTGTTCTATCAAATACATCTATGTGAATACCCTAAAAACTAACATTAGAACAATTGGTACGAGCACCATTATAGCTTTTTTTATAAGCCTTATATATAAGTGAAAACTGGTAAGTCGAGAAATTCAACACGTATCCACACATCAAATAATGCCACGTTTTGATAAGAAGCCAATCCACGTGTAAGTGAAGAAACATACCTTCTGCAGCAATCCAAAAAGAAAAGGCTGGGAAGATTGCTCCACCCACCCATCTCCATCCTTTGCTTGATGAAAATCTTTGCATTCCTTTAGAAAAAGTAAATGTACAATACACGATACATAGAGCATCCAACATGAGGATATTAAATCAAACCTAACAAAATCAAGAGTGAGTCTAAAATAGAAGAGAGAAACCTGGCACCATCTAGCTTGAGATTTCGATTTGTTAGTGTATCTCCATAAATGAAATTTGTTGCACTTTTTGCAAGCTATTCGTCTTGATTCACCGAAAGGATCTTCTCTATCCGTTGCTGAACGTGAAAATGCAAATGGACCACTCCCTCCACTCTATAAAATAAATGCATCGTCTTTGTGAAAAGCCAAATAAGATACTCGAACTAAAAAT